AAACCCTAAATCCTGCAACCCTAGACCCTACAACCCCCAAACCCCTAAAACCCCCTGAACCCTAAAACCCTCAACCCTAGAACCCTGAAGCCCCAAAGAATGCAGGGCCAGCTGAACCTGGTCACAGCCCTTTGCCATGAAAACTGCCCCACTCCGCCCTCAAAGTTTCACGCGACCACCTCAAAGGCCAAAGCTTGAGAGTTAGGGGATTAGGGTTTAGGGGTTTAGGGTGTAGGGCATTAAGGTTTAGGGGATTAGGGTTTAGGGTTTAGTGGATTAGGGTTCAGGGTCTAGGGTTTTGAAGGAGTGGCGAGGCCGCTTTTGTTCATGTATCGGGTCTAGAGCCGTTTCAGTCCGATCTAGCGTTCAAACCCCTGCGCAACCTAACCTTCACTGCTTGATAGTTTAAGTTACCCGTAGGCCCCATAGTAGTTCCTTTCTGCGGTTACCTTATAGCCTTATAGGTCTAATATCTGAACCCCAAAAGCAACTACTTTCGGGCCTATGGGTAAAGCCAACAGAAGTCCGGCTTTAGCTTTGTTTCCGCAATCCACAGGCTCTACGTTAGCTGGGCTTAGGTCCCCAAATGCAAGAAAGATGCAGAGCTCCTGTAAGGATATGAGCACGAGTGCTCCGAACTTCGAGGAGTTCAATGCGTTTCACGAGTTTTACTGGTCCCACCCGGACTCCAACTATGCGGGGCTCCCCAGACGAGGTCTCGGGTTAAGGCTCAGGGTCTCGGGTTCCATATCGAGGTCGGCAGAAGTACTACTCCAGAAGCATTCCCTTGTCATCCCCAAATGCTTGCAGCATACTTACTCGACCACAAAACTCTGTTCGAATCATTCAGGCAGCTACACCCCAGAGCTTTTAAGTTATTAAGCTGTGGCCCGAAGTTCTGGGGATTTCCATGGGGTACTGCGGCTGACAATTCAGACCCACTTATTCGGTGCCCTGGTCTTGCAGGGGTAGGGTGGATCGTTGCGTGCATGGTCGCTCCAGGCATCGTTCCCTCTGTGAAGAAAGTAAGACCTCGGATGGACAAAGAGCCTTCCCAGAACCCCAAACCCAAGCACGGTTTAGGGTTTAGGGTTTAGGGTTTAGGGTTTAGGGCCCCTAAATTCACTATCCAAAGCCCCCAAACCCCGAAGCCTCAGCCCCAAACGGGCCACCAACCCCCCAAACCCGAAGCCTCATCACTTTCCACGAGAAAAGCGCCTAGATGGTAACCCTTGGCTGGAAACCCTGAATAAACCCTAAACCGAATCCTCAAAACAAGCACCGAAACTCTAAACCCGAACTAAAAAATGCCGAAACCCCAAAGGAAAAGCTTCTTCTTAGTCCCCGAAGACCCAACCTTTAAACTTTTTTGTGCTCCTATAATTTAGTAGTAATCTGAAAGTTCAACCCTTTCTTTCCCTGGCTTCGTACATCTTCGTACCAGGTCACGAGCCCTGTGTTCTTCCATCGGAAGACCAAGGGACGAGGACCGGGGCCAAGAGTCTTCAAATACAGCTCTAAACCCCAAGCCCTAAACCCGAGAAGAGGGGTTTAGGGTTTTGGGGTTTAGGGTTCAGGGGTTCGGGGTGTAGGAGCTTATTGTTACGGGCTTAGTATAGGTCTAAATAATTCCCAATTCTACTTTGGGGGGGGGTCCTTATTATAAGTATAGTATAATATACACCAAAACCCGAGTCCAACGAATAAGGTCCCTCTATTAGGGGTTCAGGGTCCAGGGGTGAGGGCTGAGGGATTTTGGGGTTTGGCGGTCTAGTGTTGAAGATCTGAATATGATTAGAAGAAGGTTTTGGGGTGCTATTATCAAAAATATTAAAAAGCCCGAAATTTGTTCAGGGGCTCTACCGGGGGGTGGGGGTTCTACACCGGATTTGAGGGTGACTAAGGATTCCCCAGAAGGGGTTAGGGATTGGCGTTTAGAAGGATTAGGGTGTGGGTTTAGGGTAATCTTACGGACGAGCTACGGCCCAGCCTTTAGGGCTTCAGTGTTCAGTGTTCCGTCCCGACGATTCAAGGTTGTTTCAATACAATCCATCTCCTGCCCATGCAAGGAATACTCTCCATGCACGCCTGCACCCTCCGGCGCACCCATCCGGAATTGCCAGGTGCGGGACTCAGCAATGGAAGGGCCAGAGGTCGCGAGTGTAGACCCTTGAGAAGTAACCCTCTCTGTTCCCGTACAGACTTTTGTGATCATATTAAATACAGCCCGCCAAGAATGCTCTATCAATCAGTTTTGCTATGGCTGAATGTTAGCCTGCGTGAACAAGAATCCCCCCAAGTTCGATGCTTTCGACGCTAGCCACAAACTGACCATCATAACCACATTGCTCGAGCTGATGTCAGGACAACAGTGTGAGGTGGAGTGTTGATGGGTGGAGTCTGCTTTCCAAGTCTTCTTTCCTGGAGGTATACAGTACGATGAGATCATAGGGGCCTTAAAACATAGCACAGGGGCCTGAATAAATACCAATACTATTTTTTTTGGGGGGGGTCCTTATATAATTATGACAGTAGTATAATTACTGTACCAAAAAAACCCTATTCTAATAGTTAAGGCCCCTAGATTATTTCTAGGGCCTATAGGGACTGAGGGAGGCCTTAGCGTTGTTCCTTAGTTCCCCAATACCCAACCTTTAACCTATTGGGGTTCTTATAATTTAGTAGTCGTCTGAAAGTTTAACCCTTTATTTCCCTGGCTTATTGGGGAAGTAAATAAAATTTGCCCCCCCCCACAAATAAGCGAAACAATGGCGTCGCCTCTGCTGCAAGACCCAAAACCCTAAACCCCAAACCCTAAACCCTCAACCCTAAACCCTCAAGCGTAAACCCTCAACCCTAAACCCTAAACCAAGCCCTGGGTGCTGCAGGCGGCAGGGAGGTCCTGACCGTTGCCAGCTCCAAAGAAGAGTGCCTTGTTGCATCGAGGAGTGCTTCGGGGCATCTCAAGGTTCAGGATGTAATAAAGGGGCCTGAATAGTTGCCTATACTATATACTTTTTTTTTTTTTGGGGGGGGGGGTCCCTATCATAATTATTTCTTAACTACCCCAAAATCCTATTCCAGTTATTAAGCTAAGGCCCCTACATTATAGACATGGTTCCGGCAGCAGCTGCTGCTCCGGTTCTTGCTTTGAGGCTGAGGTTCCTGGCCGTGTGAAGACTTGAGGCTTGGACTCGGCTTGGACGGCCACCGCCGCCACCACCCGAAAGACCACGACGACAGCATCGGCAGTATGAAGAGACGCAGGAGGAATTGCAGTAAGGGAAGCAGCACGAGCAGATGCCACAATAGCAACAGCAACAGCAACAGCAGCCACCGCCGCCACCGCCACCGCCGCCACCGCCACCGCCACCGCCACCACCACCAGCACCACCACCACCACCACCGGAAGAATACTGATAACAAGACCCGTCAAAAGAAGCAGCACTAGCAACACGAGCGCACCACTAGCAGTAGCAACAACAGTGTCACCGCCTGTCATCGCAGCATTGATCACGATCTTCATGGCCTCTGCGTCACTAGCATCGTTAGAACCATCACCATCACCACGTCGTCATCATCAATGGCGTCGTTGCCATTCAACCATGAACATAGGAAGTGAACTACGTAACTCGCTTGCTGCCATAGCCACCATATGTGATTGCGACTGGGCTCAGGTGGTTTCGCATAGTGCCTTGGCTTGCTTCAGCTTTCTTGTGCAAGTTCGGATTAGCCGTTGCGCACGTCAGACACCAAGCGCAGTACCCAGAAGCAGATGAATCGTCCCTTGAAGGATAGTTAGCTAATGGCCTTTTGCTTCGGGTTAGATGCAGAGGACTGAGGAATGTTGGTGCCGAAGTGTAGCTACTGCAATTGTAAGGTCAACGACGTGTTCTTCCTACCTTTGGACGACCTTGATGAACACGAAAAGCTGAAGTTGTGGGCATTTTGGCTGCAATGGATATCGTGGCACTGCAGACGAGCATCCTGGAACTGTTCTAAGCTCGAACAAACTTAGACAGCAGGAGGAGATGCAGGGGCGTTTGCGGGAGGCAGACAGCAGCTCTACCTGCGGAAGTTGATGCCACAACGCCTTCTCAATGAGTGTGCTAAGGAGTTGGTTTCGACGCAGCACCGCATCTATGCAGAGCAGAAGTCGTGACCGCCAGAAAAAAGATCTGGTCAGAGTCAGAGGTTGCACCCTAAACCCTATAACCCACCACCAAGTTGGAGTCGGCGTTGCAGGCTTAAGTATCCGAGAACTGCAGCATCCCATGCAGTAAGTGTAGACTTCGCTCAGGGGAAGTTCGCACTCCTCGGACTGCACATGGCAGATGGGAGTTTCCGAAAACAAGGGCTGCCTTATTTTGGGGTCCTTATAATAAGGATCCTACTATTTAGGGCACGATATTGGGGTCCCCTATTTTCGGAAACCCCCATGTTACAGAGCTGAGTCCAGACCCAGAAAGTCCGAGAGCTATTCTACCCATAAGCCCCAAAGTAGTTCCTTTTTGGGGTTACCTTATATTCTACCCATAGGCCCTCAAGTAGTTCCTTTTAGGGGTTCATATATAGAAACCTATAGTCCTATAAGGTAACCCCAAAAAAGGAACTACTTTGGGGCCTTTGGGTAGTGAAGTTGTCGAAGTTTTGTCGCAGGCCATGAAGTCGCTGCGAGAAATCGAGGCTGGGCTGCTGCTATTTAGGGTTTAGGGTTTAGGGTTTAGATACGACGACGACTACTATACTGAAGCTATGCTACTGCTGTGCTACTGCTACTACCACCTACTACTACTACTACTACTACTACTACTACTACTACTGTACCACCAATTAGCACTACAAGCCATCACAATCATCCCGGATAAGGTGCTGTGGATGATGACGATGCGGCCAAAGAGTCCGTGCAGGCCAGGGGGCTTTCTCTAACGAAGACCTGATGTCGTCGCTTTGGGGTTTGGAGTTTAGGGTAGGGTTCCCCGAAGGGTCCTAGGTACTGTTGCGGATGATACTTTCCCTAATGACTCATGACTCATAGTAATGATCCCTAATATCGAAACCCTACATTCTACGACATAAGTATTTAGGACTCTGTGGGTTCCAGACATCTTGTAACAGGCTTCGCATTGCAATCAATCGCCTACCTAACGCTGCAGCCAGGGGCATGATGCAGGGTTAAGGGTCTATGGTTCTGTGGCGCCGACCTTTTCTAGGCTCGCGACCTTTGAAAGCCAAAGCCTCTCGCCGTCCTTCCACTTCCAGCATATTCGGTCGAAATTCAAGTGTTGGCACCTGTGATACGACATGAAATTATGAGGGTACCAACCACAAGGGCTCAGCGAAAAAAACCTTCAAGTCGCTGATTCCTCGCAGCCGTCACGATGGAAGGCACAAAGTAGCACGGAGCTGTTCGGAATGCCCTTTCGGATGCGTGTGCTCCAGGAGCTGTTGGAACAGTTATCTGACAAGCTCGACCACAGTGCGCAGGAGGCTGCTGCGTACCCTAAACCCTAAACCCTAAACCCTAAACCCTCATCACTAGGTGGAGGACTTAGGATGAGAGCTTCGGGCGTGTAGCGAGAAGGGTCCATGCTACGGTGGTTTTGGAACTCCTCTTGCAAAGCTACCCACAGGCCCCAAAGTAGTTCCTTTTTGGGGTTCATATATAGCATCCTAGAAGGTAACCCCAAAAAGGAACTACTTTGGGGCCTACGGCTACAGTAGATACCAGCACACCAGCCCTAATCTCGCTTCTGCTCGGGGAAGGGCAGCGGTTCGGTTGAAGAGGACTTTCGGGCGTATCGAACTTGTGTGACAGTGTGTACCACTTATGGTGCCTGCCGACGTAGGACTTTGACAAGACATCCATCAGTTGACCACAGTTTACCAGGTTATACTACATCATACCCCGTCATGCTCGATTATACTAGAAAACGAAACGGGATAGAATCATAATATAACTTGCACGTTACGCTATATGATGTTGCATGTGCCATATCATTAGCGGCATTATCATGCCGTAGTACAAAATTGCACCTACTATTATAGGGTTCAGGCGTGTAGGGTTTAGGGTTTAGGGGCTTAGGTTCAGGGTTTGGGGTCCCAGTTAAGGGCTTAAGGGTACAACGAGTGTACTAGCACATCGTGTTCTTTCCAATTCAGCCTAACACCTGTGAAGGGTCGAGGTGCTGAGCTTAGATTCCCGCTTAGCAGCTTAGCGCAGAATCCGAAATAGTTACCCATCCCCTTCCCCGAAAAAGCTCTTTTTTTCCAATTGCAAGGCTATAATACACTTCAAGAAGCCCAGATCAACAGGAGAGCTCTGAGACAAGGCATACGCAAAGCGGTTGCTGGGGGGGGGGGGGGCATAGGAGTCCCCCAAAAAAGACAGGTTTGTTTTTTTGACATAGGTGTTTGTGAAAAGCCTCAACGCCCTTGAGATAGTTTAGCCTAAAAACTTAAATCCTAAATCCTAAACCTCAAAACCAATGTTGTTTTAACAACCTATGCTCCATGCAAACGCAGCAGGAGATCAACAAGCTCGATGTCCACCAGGCCCGCTTCACTTTGTTCTCTAAGCCAAGGTCCCTTTTGGTAAAGTAGTAGTAGTAGTAGTAGTAGTAGTAGTAGTAGTAGTAGTAGTTCCTGTCACCCAAAAAAGGGACCCTAGTTTGGAGAACTACCGACTTGTTGGATGTGAGTCGGTTAAAAGGAAGCAAACTACGTTCCAAGCAACGCGGGTTTGTCTAACAGCGCCAGGGAGGGTACGCTAGCTGATAGAAAGCCGGTGTGGCTTTGAACATGCCCTTGCAGTTCCTGTATCGTCGTTGCCTCGCGTTGTATTTCCTATACAGCGCAATATACTATGATCTAGGGTCATATATGAAAAGTAGAATACACATCTATTGCCAGCTTTCCAACGGTCGTTGCAAGTGTTGCTCGTGCCGAGAACCATCCAAGCTCAGAGATGTGTGGGAGATTCTTTGTGTCATATCGGGTTCTCAGGTTTCTTAGGATACTGTAGGGGCCTTAAGAATTACCAATATGATTTTGGGGGCTCCTTGTTATAATTATAGTATCAGGGCCCTGCAACATCCCGAAACCCTATTCTAATTATTAACACCCTACATCAGGGTTGATCAGGTATCTTGGGATAGGGTTTATCAGGGTTCAGGGTGCAACAGTGTAAGGTAGGGGCCTTAATAGTTCCAATAGGGTTTTGGGGGTTCTTTACCATAATTTTATATGATACCCCAAAACCCTATTCTGATTATGAAGGCCCCTACATTCCACTGGCAAACCAAGCAGGCGCTGAACATCCTCAGCGACATTGACTCCCAGGCTGAGTTTCGGGTTTCGTATAGGGGCCTTAATAGTGACCTATACTATTTTGGGGGTTTCTTAGTGTAATTTTGGTATAATGGGCCCCAAAACTCCTAAACCCAAAACTCCAAAGCCCAAGTCTAATTAATAAGACCCCTACATAAGTGGTTGAGGGGGAGGGCCAAGGACACATAGCTAGAGACTGCCAGATGAGAGAAGCCAGAGATGGGACGGGATGAGGGTCTAAATATCTACTTATACTAGAGAATCCTACAAATTCCTAGGAATTCCTAGAGAATCCTATTTTGGCTTCCTTGTCATAATGGTAGTATGATATACCCAGATATCGGAGCACAGCTGCAAACCCATGTAAACCCGGAGCACAGACTGGACTCTAGACTGGGATTGCAGTACTTCTCAGAAAGAAGACTAGCGAACATACTATGACTAAGTAATTCAAAAGTACTACACTAAACCAAAAAAGCCCTACAGCCCCAAGTTCTAGACCTCCGGCCGCGAACCTCAATCTTAAGCGATCTGTGGCTTAAGCTTACGTCCGAGGCCCTAAACCCGGACGACTCCACATGCTCTCTGTGTATCCTCAGCTGCCGGGTGTGGGTGACTGCCAGGCAGATGCCATCAGAAACCCTTCCGCGTCAGCTTCTCAGACCGGGTTTGGGATGCTTCCTTATCATATTTATAGCAAAATATACACCAAAGCCCCATTCTAATTAATAAGGCCTCTACATTGACATGATGTGAGTTTAAGCAAGCCAGGAGGCCCCCAGTAGACCCCATTAGCAGGACCTGAGGAATCTTCTTGCAATCCCTGTATGAGTCATCCCTGATTTAAAGAAACCAGTCGTGTAAGGTTGCCGGTGGGTAGTGGCTTCCATCAACTGCTCCGTCTCGGTTTCGTTCTCAACCCTAAACCCTAAACCCTAAACCCTAAACCCTAAACCTTAAACCCTAAACCTTAAACCCTAAACCCTAAGCCCCAAACCATACTGGCTCAACCGAGGCAGGCCTCCTCTCGCACAGAAAAGGTCACCACACTTAAAAAAAACAAAGACGTACTGGCTAATGTAGGAGCCTAATTTAATTAGACTGGGGTTTGGGGGTGTATTCTACCATAACTATAATCAGGAACCCCCCAAAATAGCATAGGTAATTATTTAATTTAAGGCCCTAAACCCTAAACCCTAAACCCTAAACCTTATTAAGGCCCCTGTAGTAGGAGGAGCCTCTCAAGGCTAGGGTTCGGGTGTCTCGGCCCCCAGCGTTTACTGCAAGGTGGGGGTCCGACGTTCGGGTGCCCGGATGGGATGCAAGTCTGTCTCCGAGGATGAGCAGGAAATATCTGCCAAAATCGCGGTTTAGGGTTTAGGACCTTCAGGATCTAGGATTTAGGGCTTCGGGTTTAGAGTTGCGAGCAAACGTCGGAATCTTCAGACTCCTGAAAAACACCCCACGCCTGAACCCTAAACCCTGAAACACAAAGCCTGGGAGCCATGCTCGCTATGGTTTCAGGTTCGTCATGGCGGCAGCGAGACGCCAGGCTGGCTTCATGGAGTGCAAATGCTGGCCCATAATCACGGTTGCGCTTACTACTACCGGGATTAGCGGGTTTAGGGTTTGGGGCTTAGGACACCAAGCCCTAAGTAGCTTCAAGGCCCTAGAAATCTTGAACATCGCCCCGGCCAGGGCAGCGCGGGCAGCCGCAGCAGGCAGGGATGCCTTTACTGTTTAGGGTTTAGGGCTTAGGGTTTAGGGTTTAGGGTTTAGGGTTTAGGGTTTAGGGGGGATCGGAAGCTTGCTCACTCCGGTCACTGAAGGAGACCAAAAGTCCGTGAACGCAGGTAAGAAAAATCCTAAACCCAAACTTTATAGACTCTACCTCAACCCAACATACCAACCTTTTGCAGGACGTATATAACGAAGTCATAATAAGGAACCCTACTTAGGGCGGGTTCTTTAGGGTATGTGCAAAAGGCTTGGAGTCCCTAAGCCTTAAACCCTACTTGGAGGATCATGGGAGTTAGTAAGTAAGTTTATAAGTCCCTTAATTGGGGTTATAAGTATAGTTACCCTAAACCCTAAACCCTACTTACTAAGTCCCATGATCCTGTAAGTAAACCCCTAAACTTGGAGTCCAGGGCTTGGAAGAGTTGGGGTTCCTGGAGATGGAGCACACGCAGCCTGATCCCGCTAAGCATTGCCTTCAGCTCCGTTGTAGTTAGTTTTTGGCCGTCTTGCTTTTTAGTCCAAGTCCAGGGCTTTAGGGTTTAGGGTTTAGGGTTTAGGGACAGGTTAACTCCCACTGGAAGTGAAGCGTATTGAAACATTATTTGAAGGCTTTCCGTGCAGTGCTGTGTAGTTTGGATCTTCACGGTGAGGATGTCGGCGATGAGCACCGCACATGACCTGGAACTCTCAGAAACTGGATCCAATAATGCTGTCGAACTCCCAACACCTGATGTAGAGGCTGAGTAGTAGTTGGCGAAATACATTCCAAAACCCTATTCCAGTTCTCAAAGCCCAAACAGTAGACCCTGAGACCACTGCTCGAATACTTGAGGCTTCCCTCCACGGGAGACTGTCCATGCTTAGGTAGGGCTTCGGTTTTCGGGATTCGCAGTTTGGGTTTAGGTGTTTAGTAATGGACAGGCGCGATCCTCCGCGACTACAGGAAGGCCGGTCAAGAGATGGCGTGAGGATCGCATCGTGAAGTCTACCGATAGTCGCCAGTATTGTTGCTTTTTTGGGTTGCCTTATAGAATCCTTTATACCAAATTGGTTACATCAGGAACAGGAACTACAGGCTTTTTGAAGGCCTGAGCAAGTGATCACACAAACTAAGGAGGGTTGTATGACGATGGTACACAAAACAGACCTTACAGAAGTTCTTACTTATTCAGGCCAGTCCACGTAGCTTTGCACGGTTTCAATTGCTAACCCAGAAGTTGAAAGTGGATTTGGAGGCACTCGAAACCCTAAACACGACACTCTGAATCCAAAATTTGCTGCTTTTTGTTGAGAGGCCCTTATGCCGACCGGAGTTCGTACAACGACCGAGGCTACGCAGATCGTCCTGTGCTCGGAGCAGTTTAGGATTCAGGGATAAGGGTCAGTAAGAGCTTAGGGTTTAGGTTTAATGCTTTTAGAGTTGCAGCCTTAGCATTTCGCAGGATGACATGCTATTTAGGAAGATAGTTTCAAACAGTTTTAAGAGACATGCCTGGTCTTTGTGCTAGCACGGTGCGCACGCACAACCCTTGACCCCTGACATAGTACTATAAGAGCGTACAGTGAAGAGTCGCAGGCACGAGCATCTGTGCACGGCCATGCCTTTAGATCTCACATTCCTGAGACACTGAGGCGATAGCTATGACAGCCATTACCGCCTGCAGCCTAGAATGGATACATCGAAGGTTACAACTTCTTGTGTGTTAGCCAACTCTGCAGCTTTCAAGTCGCGATACTTGGGGCACCGACGTCGCCCATGCTCGAGGGGCTCAGCTTGCTTGCGACTGTACAAGTACATCTGTACGTCAAGAGTGCCGCGAGCATCAGGTGACAGCGACCGCAGCAATGGCTATGGTCGTCAAGATTACAACAGCTTCTTGGCGACGCAAGGTTGGTCGGGAACATGCAAAACATTCATGGGCAGCAACACTCGTGGGCTGTTATGACGAGCTGCGGGGAGTTCGCTCAACAGAAAGTGGTGTGTGTGGTGTCCGAGAGTCTGAGAGCTACTACCCAGGGTGGCGTTCCACACCATCTGCACTGGTTGAGCATGGAACCTAAGCTTCCCTACCCCTAAACCCTAAGATCATTGGTGTTAAGAAGCAAGTTATTTCTTCCGGGAGCAGCTCAATCATGTAATGGTCTCTAGCAAATTACCGTCACTCACTCCCAACATTCTATCGTGAACTATCGTGAACTGCTTGTCTTCTCAAAGGCTATAGCCAAAACAATGGCTATGCTGAAAGCCCCTTGGCAATATCGGTGCCTGACTGCCGTGCGTTGCTGTTCGTGGGTTTGGGATCGTGTGGGGCTTAGAATTTACAGGGTTTACACATATGTAATGTATACGCATGATACTTTCTGCTTGTGAAATAGCATGCAAAATGCGCCTGGCGTGAAATGGAGTCCGGCTTCCAGCAACCAACCTCCTCTCGATTGTTCGCTCGAGTCTTGTGCTTGTCAACACCCTTTCAGGGATCGTACAGGCATGGTGATCATGGAATCATGCTGATTTTCGGTGGGGGAGGAGGGTTGCCGCTGCAACCGGGGTGAGTATTGTTCGCGTAGAAGCCCTCAGTGTGGAAGCTGCATTTTTACTCTGCATTCGTTGGTGGGGCTTGGCGTGTAGACCCTCAACCTCTAGCCCATGAAGCCTATGTCTCAAGAACTCAAACCCCTAAACCTGAAGCCCTAAATCGTCTTGCAGTTGCCTGCCCCATGGGGCTTTCGTAGGTGCTTTCGTGCGGATCGAGAAGCGGCCCTTAACGAAAGATAGTCTTGGAGTCCTCGTTGCGATGCGTTTTCGATAATGTAGGGGCCTCAATAATTACCAAGACTATTTTGGGGGTTCCTTGTTATAGTTATAGTATATGGGGCCCCGAAACCCTACTCTAAATTATGAAGGCCCCAAAACCCTAAACCCTTATAGTAGCCCTTAGAGAACCCTTTAACGGAATCCTTTAAAGGAACCCTTTGAAGGAACCCCAAAGCCCTATTCTCATTTTTAAGGCCCTCTACACTAGGTTAACTTGAAGCTCAAACCTTCAGCTGGAAGATCTTTTCCCGGAGCCCTGAAAGCGGTTTAGGGTTTAGGGTTTAGGGTTGCGCAAGGTCGCTACCCCAGAAGGAGGGACGAGAATTCCTACCACAAAGGCACCTTGTCGTCGTTCAGAGCGCAAATAGGGTTTAGGGTTTAGGCTTTAACTAGTGAGGCGTGGAAGGGCTTGCTTTTGGATTGGGGAATCGGTTTGGGAGTGCCCAGAGAAGCCACATCATATGCGAAACAAGTTAGATGGGACTTCAAGGTATTCTGCACGTGGAATACTGAGTAGTAGAATTCGGGACAAACAAGAGACTAACAAGACCCAACACCCTCTAAAGTCCCTAAAGCCCGAAGCGCTCCCAAAAGCCAACTGCCAAGACCAAGAAAGTGAAACTCGGCTCGGGGTCAATATTCCATTAAGGGTTTAGGGTTTAGGATTTAGGGTCTAGGGTCTAGGGTTTAGGGTTGCAGTTCATCAGCGTTTGTCAGTGTTACTGCCACCGAGCTACTGCAAACGTGCATTGATTTCAGTACTGCTGATCCGAGAGCATGAAGAGTGGGGGCTACATATCGTACTTACTTGTGAGTAGCCCGCAACATGGGAACTTAACACAGACCCAACAACACAGGGTCCTTGTTTGCGACAAGGCGCGCCATGTTCGAACCTTTCGCTCAAACTTATGACTCGTCGTTTGACTGTTTGTGAATTAACCCTTAAATCGAACCCTCATAGAAAACCGGTTTGGATCCCTTTTAACACCCTTGTAGATCCCTTGTATGAAGGCCTCTTATAGATTCCTGTTAACCTCAACTCCTCGATGCGGGATCCCGGGTCCGAAGCCGAGGAGACCCACGGTTTGCGGGTTTAGGGTTGAGGGTTGAGGGTTTAGGCATGGTGTTGAAGAAAACTAAGGGAAGACTCACGAGAACAGGAGAGGTCAGCATGCCCTCTGGGTAAGTCTTCATGACCATCTGTATGATGTCGACAGCAGGTGAGTGTTATCGACAATAACGACATCCTAAGCAAGCATCGTCATAATTGTAGAACAGACAGGCTGGTCAACATCATGTTTTTTTATTGTAGTCTTGTGTGACTCGAAGGAAAGCATGATCAGAGCAACCGGTATATTATACCCCCAAGTACCCTAAACCCTCAACCCTAAACCCTATGCCTATACCCCCAAGTACCCTAAAGCCCTCAACCCTGGACCCAGCTCCAGAGTGATGGCGAGGCTACGGCAGATCGGAGCACCAGAAAGTGGAACAGTGCCTCCCCTCCCTGACCGGTCCGGTGCTGCTTGCTTTCGGGGCTTGGGAGTCGGTCTAAAGCTTGTCAAATTCAGCATTTAGGGGTTTATGGGCCTAGGACTCCTTGGTAGTAGCAAAATACCGTTTGTCCATGTGCTTGAGGGTTTAGGATGTATGGGATAAGGAACCCTGGCATGGAACCCTATTAATTATAGGCACCCCGTGCCGGAACCCTTTCCTAGAATCCTACTCTGGGAACCCCATGAAAGGAACCCGATTCTAGAAATTCAGCCGGCTCCGATTGTGTTCTCTCCTGCGTGAGCACTTTCGAGCTACGTCGGATGGCCGTAGCGCGCCCTATGCTTCTGCTCATCTGTACAAGCATGCAGAAGTGTGGAATAACATCTAAACCGACTTAAGGAGCCATAAGTCCAACCCTGAAGTGTCTCCAGCCAAACACCGAGTGGTTCCGTCTATAGCCGCTGACTGGTGGACGCCATGAGCCGACAAGGGTATGGCAATGCGCACTACTCGGGCAAAGGTGGCCCTTCGCATACCTTACTCTCACAGCTGTAGTTTGCTGAAGTTGAGGCAAAAGTGGGGGGGGGAGGGGCGGTTCCCACAATGAGGTGTTGTTTTGTTTTTTCTAGTAGTTATCTAGTACCGCTTAGCCATGCTACTGCTTTCCTTGGTTCTTTATCTTCGAAAACTCTTGCTTCATTCCCTCGACCCATACTGTAGACCGCTGATGAACAAACCCCTTTGCTTGAAGGGCCTTAACATCTCGATCCCCAGAGTACTCCCTTTGAAGGGCGGGGTCAATCATGACGTGGCATGCCGTTCTATTCATATTTGGTCCTAGTATAGAATTGAACTTTACTGGCCTTACTACTGAAACATTCCTGCTGGCGTTTTGCATTTGTGTTCTTGTTTTGTCTGCACAGCTACGTAGTAAGTCTCTGGTTCTCACCTCCCACGTCGCGGCATGTTTTTCCTATGGTTGAACTAGAAATCTAACTACTCCAAGTAGCCAGACCGTACCTACATTGGGGTCTTCAAACTTTAAGAAGATCTTGTAAAGTACCTACCTGGGGTTCCTGGGAGTCATTGGGAAGACTAGATAATCACTAAGCCACCGTGTCAAATAGTAGCTATCCATAAGCATCATGAGCATCATGCTGATAGCAATATCCATGGCAATCGTGATCATCGAGTGAGAATTGCTTGACCTGGCTCAGGCAAGGGAGGTCGAGGACTCCGTGCTTCGTTTGGACTGCACGTTCAGAAGGTTCTTCTTACTGGGTTCTTGTCAGGGAGGCCATTGTCGGGAAACCGTGTTATTTACTTTAGGTTCAAGTTGTCGTAACTCAAACTATGTTGCTTACGAGAAGCTAGGTCAAGAAGACCTGAGGTTTTCAGTTGACACACACACACCGCCTTCTGGCTGAGGGTCGTAACATGGGGATCACGATGATCGCCCTTTTCAGAGGGGGTGGCTGATCAGCTCTGAAGTACCGATCCAGGGCTTTGATGGAGCGCCTACGGGGTAGGGGTGTTGTAGGGTGATATCGGGCTGTCAATAATCAGATTTGGGTTTGTAGTATACTGGGGTAGAACTAGTCAACGTGGGGAGTATAAAGGGGGGATCATGACAACGTATTCAGACCTTAGGTGGTGGGTCGGGACTGGATTCGCTACACGTCGCACCTTGAATTGAAGTTCGGGGTATTCCTCAATCGCATCCGCTCTGGCCTCGCATCTGAAGCCAGAATACTCGACAATTTCGAGTCTGAGGTAATGTAGTTCTTCTCTTTTAAATCCTAAACCCTAAACCCTAAACCCTAAACCCTAAACTACTTTCCAGGACCACAAATAACTGTGACCAGCCTCCACGCCGGAGTCTCTTGGCGAAGTGCAGAGTAGTGTTGGAAGATGGACTCCGGTGGTGCAGACGGTTTTCATGGTATAACCTACCATACTCTAATCTAATAAAATACATTACAAATCATCATAGAACAAGATGATATAACATATTATAGTAGTAAAGTAGAGTAGAGTATAGTACAGGATAGTCTCATATATTATATTCTCATGCATGTAATATATTCTAGCAGACAAAGAACTTCTGGCCAGTTTTACTGCCGAATCTCCCTGAGGCAAATAGCACCAATGCACACGGCGTTGTCTCCGAACACCTAGACATCCTGGGTTTAGGGCTTTAGGGTTTAGGGGTTTAGGGGTTTAGGGTTTAGGGTTTAGGGTTTAGGGTTTAGGGTTTAGGGTAGGGTTTAGGGTTAGGGGTTTGGGGCTTTAGGGCAATAATTAATTGAGGTTCAAGCTGGCCAAGCGGCGAGAAAACTGTTCGGGCATGCTGCTGTCGCATCCTCGAGTGCATGCTTTCATGAAGCTTCGCAGGGCGAAGATGCAAGTTCTGTTCAGGATGGACCGAGGTGTTCAAAGCCATGGTGAAACTTGCTCTAGAACCCAACGAGTTAGTGTAACATCTTAAGTAAGACCCTACCATGTGGATCCAGACCTCGACATCCAACTGCCCCTTAAAGTCTTGAGTGTAGAGCGGCTGCTCCAGTGCCTAGTGCTCCAAGAACCCTTAACCCTAAACCGTCGTGCCAAGGACAACGTCGAGGTTTTCCACAGATATTGCCTCTCGTCTAAAGGAACCCAACGGCAGTTCCTCCCCCGTCAAGGCCAACGTATTCGGACTCTCGTAGTCGGGTTTCCGGGTCAAGGGGGCTGACCCTGGAAGCTCTACCCTGAATCCCCCAACCCTCAATCCTGAACTCTTCAATGTAGGGTTGATAGTTCATGGGGTCCAGGGTTTAAAGAGAAGACAGAGCTACAGTACTTGCGACTGCATGTAATCACGTGACACACGACATAAGGTTGAAACGATGCATCCTACATTGGTCTTGCCTCTCCCTACGCCTGGACCACCCTAAGTCCTAATCCCTAAACCCTAAATCCTAAACCCTAAATCCCAAACCCTAAACCCTAAATCCTAAACCCTAAATCCTAAAGCCTGAACCCTAAATCCTAATCATTAAGCACCAAAGCTCCTCAACTTCAAACCCCTAGAACCCCCGAAAAGGGCCGTATTTATAACCCAACACCAAAGATACCTGAAGCCCTGCACCCCCTATACCCTACACCCTATGCTAACCGTAAGCCCTAAGCGCTAAAGCCTAAATTGTGTAGCAGGTCAGGACCCCAACGGCTACTTCATGGTGCAACATCGGTCTTCGGGGATTCTTCATCCCAGTGTCTCGGCCTCTCAGTTCTAGGGGTTTAAGTTTTAGACTGGTTTGGGGTTTAGGGGTTTATGGTT